ACTTAATTGCAAAGATATGTGGGGCAAGAAGGAGGAAAAGCAAGAGGGAGGGAACTCCATGCTGCCAGGAGACTGTCCTAGAAGGGAGGGATCCTGTGTTTGCTCTGCTCCTACCCTGCTGGGGTACAAATTATCCCACTGCTGTTCATATATTTTATCCAATGAATATTACATATAACAATGAAAAAACTGTAGAGCGCTCTTGGCAATGACTAGTCCAGAACCTAGTGATTACATCTCTTTGCTGGGGAGGGAGAGATGCAGGTTAAAACCCCATTTGGAGGAGAGAGGGGCCTAGAATCTGTGCAAGTGCATAAATCATGAGACTACTGAACTGAAAGGTGAGGGCAATCCTCCTCCCTTCTCACCTTCCAGAGGTATGTGTGCACCTAGGCAAACCTGGAAACAGAACCCAAACTGTGCATAAACATCCATTTACACTTACACAGTCATGTAGATGCCACTTAGGTGCATAAAGGTGAAACAGGATTTAGCTCTGAGTGTCACTGTAGCCAGGAGAAATGGAAGTGAATAGTCCCTAAGAAAACTGAGACAGATTGTCAGCTGGGCTCCATGGAAGTATCTCCAGTGCCATTGTGTTTATTACAATTAGCAAGTGATCTGTAGAGAAGTATGTGAAGATATTTATGTGCATGCAGGACTGAGAATCGCAAGATATGGGTGAGAGGGAGAGTGCAAGCATGCATGTATACCAGTCAAAGTGATGGAGTTTGGTCTTTGGTTATTGTGCTGTTTGGAACATATCTGAACATAGATTTGTTTACTATGGAAGTCTCAGTACTGAAGGGGTTTGCTAAAACTAGATGAGTACAGAGATGGAACAGAAGGTTTCTTATTTTTAATTAGAAGGGAGATGGGAAAATGTGCCCTTCATTTAGAGAACGCTCTTCTACAAGTGTAGGGCAGAAATTTAAATTAAATAGCTATTAACAAAAAAGTACAGAAAACAAAGGTCTAAACCAGTGACACCCCACCCCTTTCAGGCCCATGGACTACATGAGTGGCAGAGCTGGTTTGCAGGCCAGATTCTGCATGGGGTGGGTGCATGGGGTCACTCTGTAGGCGCAATCCCACAAACCAACCTAATTCAACCCCATGTGCCCAGATGTAGCCATGCGCCAACCTGACCCCACCTGCCCATACCCATCCACACATAGGCTCAACCACGTCCCTGGATCTGGCTGCAGAGTAACCCTGCATGCTGGGACAGAGCCACATTATCTGGTTCAAAGGGCTTCCCACGGATCCAGAAATTTGGCAGCAAGGGAATACTGCCACCACTCCCGCATCACCAAATTTCCAGACCTGTGGGGAGCTCCATGGGCTGGATGACATGACTCCACAGGCCAGATCTGGTTCAGGGGCCAGGGGTTGAGCACCACTGAACTAATCTGTTTAGTCTCCTGCTCTGAATTCAGTATCTTAACAATGGATGGGCAAGCCTTGGGGGGTGGCAGGCACCAGAATGGAGTCTCACTCTCTCATACTCTATTCCCCATTTTCTCCTACACCCTGCACCTTCCCTGAAGTGGCTCCATCTCTGGCTCCAGCCACAGTATACAGTGTAGGAGCAACCAGCGACTTACTGTCGCTAGGGGAGACATCACCTCCTTTTTTGCCACCAAAAACCAGTGAGTTTTTTTGTTGCTCAGCATGTATGTCAGCATAAAAAAGGTGACATCTGGCCCAGCAGCAGCAAACCAATGGCTACCCCTGCATTACATGCCACCAATTCTTTGCCTCCCCACTGCCAGAGCTGCTGCAAGGAGGGTGCAGGGGGGAGGCGAGGAGGAGTCACACTAGCAGCCAATTATGCCTGTGTCTCATTTACTCAAGTTTCAATCCATCTTTCTCCCTGTGATGTCATCCCAAGAGCTCTGCAGTTGTCCATAGAAACCTCTAGCAAAACAGAGCATTTAAGATGTGCTCATTTCTAAAATACAAAAAAAAATATCAAGTGAAGTAAAAAATAACATTCAAGTTAAAAAACTGGCTTGAAAGGGGAAAAAAAGCCTCTCTCAGGCCTTTCTCATACAACATCACGAAGCAAGTAAGAGGACAGAGTCCAGTTTGTTTTTCCCCTATGCAGGTTGCCTTAGACAGAAAAGTTGGTTCCCACAGAACACCTGCCTACCCTCCAGTTTTCATATGCACCGCATGGTACACAATTGACCTCAGAAGTCGCCTGCTGTGACAATAAATAGAGTTAGAGTCCTACCCATAACACTCTTAAGACCTTTGGCCAATGTTAGCTGTGAAGTCACAAACATTAGCAAACAAGAAAGATACTGGAACACTGGCAACACACAATTTTGTGCTCCTGAGACAGCTCCATTGGAAGCCTTGACTCAGAGGAGCTGGCAAAGACATAAGCAAGGCCTGATGAAAAAAAAAAAAAGGAGAAGAATGAAGGCTGCTCTTTTGAACCCTGAGGATTAATCTGTTTGCCTGTAACATAACTAGCTCCGAGGTAGGGAACAGGCCCAGTTTCTGAAATGGTTACTTTCGTCAGAAGTTCCAACTGAGAATAACAACAACCTGCTCTGATTTGTAATACCCTTTGTAGGTGATTATGGGAAACAAAAAGAACTAAATTCAAAGCAGGTTTTCAACTGGGGGGAATCCAAAAACACTGACTGAGAAGGAGAACAAAGCCAGATGGCATGTGTTGGTATTGTTAGGGATTATGCAGTGTAAGGCAATCGGAAACGAGCAGGGAAATAGAATCAGCTTTGCCCCAAGGTCTCACGATTGCCCAGTGAGCATGCTGGGGCAACAACAAAATGATCAGTTTATGGGTTTCACTCTCCTCCCCCCAGAATGGACTGAAATATTTGCATTAGTCCAAGCACAATTTTTTATCTAATGTTTTCCTTGGGGTTTACTAGCTGTTTAGAGCATTTGGTATAAAAAGCATTCCCTCAAACTCTTGCCACAAAAAGAGCTGAAACTATGATACTAATTAAAACCACACTTTTTGGTATCAAGAAGACATGCTATTATTTTCTTTTTTGCTCTTGAAAAGCTGTTAATATGGGCAATGCGTCTGGAACATTTTCCTTCCAAACAGAATGTTCAATACCCCCTCCTGCTCAGGTCGGCATGTTTTATGAACTTGTCAGCAATCTGGGGCTTTGCTGGAGTGGTGTGGGAAGGCTCAGATGTGATATTTACAAGGCAAAAAAATTAAATAAACTGTTTGCCAACTAAACGTCCCAAAAAGCACATCAAAAGAAAACGAACCATCATGCTACATGAAAATGACAGGCAAAATACGTGTCCTAACTCTTGCCCATGGAGCCACATTATGGGACTGATCTGCAAAGACTTGAATTTAAGTTTTCACAGGTGGCCTCTGCTTTACAAGTTTCTTTCTGGATGGTCCACATATGCCACATCAGGTTTAGCTGGAATTGTCCTGCACCCTGTGCTGTGATTTGCACTGGTGTAAGGACTACATAAATGCTACCAAACTGGAATGGTGGCACTTTACCCTGCCTATCACAGGTACTGATGTGGCCCGATTACTATGGTTTCCCCACATCTCACAAACTTTAGTGCATTTACCCTCACAACAGCCAAGTGAGGTAGGAAATACTACTATTCCCATTTTAAGGATGGGGAATGGAGTAAAAAAGAAATAAGGGATCGATTTTTAAAAGTATCTAGATGCCTAAAGAACAGTTCCTTATCTTCAGTGTTTTCCAGGAATCTAATTGGGCACCAATCCTTATACTTTGGTATCTAAGAGCCTTTAAAAATATGGCCCCACACAACGTACTTGCTCAAGGTTATACAGGATCTCTGCGACAGAGCAGTGGGGTTGCCCTAGTCTTTGGCTAATATTATAACGAGTGGACCCGTGCAGTTTTCCAGGGTTCTGAGAATTTGTGTAGCTGACTGATGTCAGGTGGAGTTCTGAACACTTCAAAAATCCTGTTCACCAGCACCTTAAATGAGGCAGCTAAACGTATTGAGTGCTTTTGACAACAATGGTCTTCATCTTCAAAGTAGCCCCTATTCTCCTGAGCTCCCCTGCTGGGATAACTGAAAGTTGCAGGAAAAAACCTTGCATGAAGACACTTGTCCCATCAGTGCCTTTTTTTGGGACCACAATAGTAAATAACATTTCATCAGAGCAATTGACACCTGGTTTCTATTTGGAAATGTGGCTTTCAGTGCTCCGCCTTTGTTGACTCAAAACAAAATTCAGCTCCACTTTTTCGTGGCCGCAGGGATGCCAATGTTTTAATACCATGTGGTGGAGAGGGTGGGGGCTTTTTATGGGTATTTGGTGACATTTTCTCCTTGAACAGCTGCCTGCCTGATTATTAAGTTTTGGACATGCCAACAATACAAAGAAACTGTGTAGGTTACGAAAACAAGTTAATACATAAAAAATATGACTTCAGCAAAGAAGTTAAGCTACATGTGCGAATGTGCTGTAATTTGTTACATGCTTCTGTTGTGAGGAGATCCAAAGTAATAAAATATTCCTGTAATGCTAGAACCGTGAGGCCCGGCTCTAATAAGATGTTCAGATTCCAATATTAGCTTTGCTATGCTATATTCTGACTCTAGTTATTAAAGCAGGCATTACACTGCTAAACTCCTTCGCATGTTCCTATAAAAAAATTTTTACCACCAAGGTAAAAAGAGATTTATAGCATGTAAGGCAAGTGCTCAATTGTTTTGGAGATGCATGCATCTTTTGTCAATTTATGCAACTCTAAAATGGAAACCTGTACATACCCAAAACTTCAGTAATAAAATCCCAGTGGTTGGAGCAGAGCTTTATTTTATGGACTAGGGGAGGGAAGGGCTGGTAAAGGGATGGACTGCTTTAAGAATTCTACATTTCTCAAGTCCTGCTTTTCATTTGGGCTTGACAGGCAAAGTACGGAACACATCATTATGGCTTCGCAGTCACTGCTAAAGGTAACGCTCATGTTACAAATGAATTAATAAGAAACACTTACCTTCCCCACTAGCTTGCCTTTCCTGTTCATGCAAAGGTAAAAGTCTG